AGGGAAGGGAGAGTGTATAGAGGGAGAGACGGAGAGAGGAAGTGGGAGGGAGGGAGAAAGGGAGAGAGGCAAGGGAGAATGGATAGAGGAAGAGGTGAAGAGAGGGAGGGAGGGAGAAAGGGAAGAGAGGGGCGTGGAGAGAGAGAGGAAGAGAGAGGGTAGAGAAGAGAGAGAAAGAGAGGGAAGGGAGAGTGTATAGAGGGAGAGACGGAGAGAGGAAGTGGGAGGGAGGGAGAAAGGGAGAGAGGCAAGGGAGAATGGATAGAGGAAGAGGTGAAGAGAGGGAGGGAGGGAGAAAGGGAAGAGAGGGGGTGGAGAGAGAGAGGAAGAGAGAGTGTAGAGAAGAGAGAGAGAAAGAGAGGGAAGGGAGAGTGTATAGAGGGAGAGACGGAGAGAGGAAGTGGGAGGGAGGGAGAAAGGGAGAGAGGCAAGGGAGAATGGATAGAGGAAGAGGTGAAGAGAGGGAGGGAGGGAGAAAGGGAAGAGAGGGGGTGGAGAGAGAGAGGAAGAGAGAGTGTAGAGAAGAGAGAGAGAAAGAGAGGGAAGGGAGAGTGGATAGAGGGAGAGCGGAAGAAAGGGAAGAGGGTGGATAGAGGGAGAGACAAAGAGAGGAGGGAGGGAGGGAGGGAGAAAGGGAGAGAGAAGGAGGGTGGGAGAGGGAGGGGATGGATAGAGGGAAGGAGGAAGAAAGGGAAGAGGAAGGGAGGGTGGAGAGAGAGGAAGAGAGAGGGGTGAGGGTGGAGAGAGAGAGGAGAGGGGAGGGAGGGAGGGAGAAAGAGGGAGGAGAGAGGAAGAAAGGAAAGGGAGGATAGAGGAAGAGAGATGAGAGGGAGGGAGAGAGGGAGAGAGGGATGGAGAGAGTGAGGGAGAGCAAGAAAGGGAAGGGAGAGAGAGAGGGTAGATAGAAGGAGCGAGGAAGAGAAGAGAGGGAGGGAGGGGGTGGGGGCAGGGGAGAGGAAGAGAGAGGGAGGGAGAATGTGTAAGTTGTATGTGTGTGTGCGCACACAGGCTGTGCATGAATTTGGGCCTGCCTTCTCGAACGCCTGCACCTAAAGGATGGGTTGGAGACTACATTTCCCACAGTTCCTGAGCGCTTATGACTTCTGATCCCAACCGTCAGATTGGGGGGAAATAAACCAACATGGGCCTCCCATCAAACCACATTTGAGCCCCCTGTGTACATTCCCAATATTTCAACTAGACCAGTCTGGATGCCTCTTAAGCCCCCTTAATCTTAAAAAACAAAAAGCTTTAAAAATTCCTTTAACAGGGAATTTTGCCCCTTGGACTGAGGGGTGGCCCCAATTCCAGCTCTCTATCCATTTGGTCTTCACGCAATTTTTCATCTCCAACATCTAAGGGTCTGCCCCCAAGAAGAGGGGGGGTCTCCACCTATTCTCAAAAGCACCTAAAGGACAAGAAGCAATGGGTGGAAACTAATCCAGGAGAGAAGCAACCTAGAATTAAGGAGGAATTTCCTGACAGGGAGAACAATTAACCAGCGGAACTACTTGCCTCCAGAAGTTGTCGATGCTCCAAGATTTTAAGAAGAGATTGGACAACCATTTGTCTGAAATGATAGTGTCCTGCCTGAGTGGGGGCGGGGGGGGGTTGGACTAGAAGACCTCCAAGGTCCCTCCCAGCTCTGCTTATTCTATTATTCTGAATTGGGGGCCATTTTCTTGGGACTCATTCTGGAAGCTTTGTTCGGTGCTGAGAACTGATCAGACAAGCTGGCATCAGGCCACGGTTGTGTTAAAGCCATCTAGCCACCTTCGCAACACAAAAACCCTCCAGGCCTTTCCTCACAACAGAGAAAGTGTGCTTGTGTGGTTAAAACAGATCTTCTCGGAACAATAAAGGATGATTTGTGCTTCTCTGTTCATCGTACTCTCTCTCCAAGTTTTTTTGGCCACAAAAGGAAGAAACGACCAGATGTGGAGAGGGGAAGTAGTGGGGGGGGGGCAGACTGAACCCCCAATTCTAATCTGGGGTGCAAATTTGAGGGACCATCAGCTGCTCACGAAAATTCCAGTTCTACAATACAAGTGAATAAAAATCCAGTCCTTCATCCTAGGATCATTTGAGAGCGTGCAGGGAGAAAAGCTGAAAAAATTATATATATAATATATATAAAAATTATATATATATATATATATATATATAATTTTTTGGGGTCCTTTCCCGTGTTCACCAAAACTTGCATACTTGTACCCGTGAAAATCTACGAATATATATATAGTGTCACAACCCCTGGTATGCCCAAATATGGGAGGAAGCATACTGCTTCCTTTCTCTGTCTATCGGCTCGTCACAAGACACCATCCAGACAGAAACCCAATATTTTTACTGTTGCCTTTGTTACATTTGTGTTGTATTTGTGCTGATAAATAAATAAAGGGAGACTAGTATAGATCTAATTCAAGCTATTTAGCTCTCATCAGCTAGCCATACCCTTACTGGGATTCGAACCTGGGCTGTATTGCATCTTAGGCAGATGTGTTAACCACTAAGCCACAGAGTTCTACTCCTTATCAGCTGAGCCAGGGAAAAAGCCTTATCAGCCAGAGAAGATAATATTTTTACTGTGGCCTTTGTTACATTTGTGTTGTATTTGTGCTGATAAATAAATAAAGGGAGACTAGTATAGATCTAATTCAAGCTATTTAGCTCTCATCAGCTAGCCATACTAAATACATACCTATACATACATATCACAACACATACCACTAAATACATACCTATTTCCCTGGCTCAGCTGGTAAAGGAGGAGAACCTTGTGGCTTAGTGGTTAACACATCTGCCTAATATGTAATACAGCCCAGGTTCGAATCCCAGTAAGGGTATGGCCAGCTGATGAGAGCTAAATAGCTTGAAATAGATCTATACTAGTCTCCCTTTATTTATTTATCAGCACAAATACAACACACACACACATATATAAAGACTGACAGCAAAATGGACTAATTATAATACGCCATTGTGCTGGTTTGTTTGAATTTTTTTTAAAAAACAAAAAAATTAAAGTACGAAGCGCAATCATATCGAGGCCAGCGAAGAAAATTACACGCCGCATCAGCTATATAGGTAGTCCTCGACTTACAACCGCAATTGGGACCGGGAATTCTGTGGCTAAGCAAGGCAAGTTGTGAAGCGAGCTGTGCCCGATGTTGTGGCCCTTTTTTTCTTAACCTTTCAGCAAATCATCGTTAAGTGAATTGCGCCATCGTTAAAGTGAAGCCATTAACTCGGCTTGTTGGAAACCAGCTGGGATCATGGTGATACGTTTTGTACTACTAGTTGTAACTCACTTTTTTTCAGTGCCGTTGTGATTTTGAATGGTCACTGAACGAACAGTCGTACATTGAGGACTACCTCTAGCTTTGGAACTTAAGCTGTGTTAGCACAATAAACTAGACTAGCAACCCCCCCCTGCCTCCCTCCCCCCCAAAAAAATTGGGGTCTGGAAGCAAACCAGAAAAACTTTGGCACGGTCCAAAACGAACATCGGGAAAACGTCCCTTCGGAAGCGGATCCTTTCGTGTCCTGTGTGACTGTACCGATGGAAAGAGATTGCAGGAGGTGTGTTAGACTTGTGTTACCTATTTACCGTATTTTTCGGACTATAAAACACACTTCCCCCCTCCTAAAAGAGGGTGAAAATTTGGGTGCGTCTTATACACCGGGTGCAGCCCCGCCCATCGCACTCTTTGGTCTCTGCCTCCCAGAAATTTGCCTCCTTGCAGCGAACAGCCAACAGCCTGTTTCAGCTTCAGCACAGCCTGATTAGCACAAGCCGCTGAGTCTCGGTTGGATCGGCCTCCCGACCATCAGCTGTTTCAGGCTGCAGGGATTGCCATTGCCCATTGCCATTTCCGTGTGCCCCGTTTTCGGCCTCCGCACATCCCATTTTCCGCCCATTCCAATCCCCGCCAGGTAAATTGCTGGGAGACAGAGGCAGATTTTTCCCCCCCTTGTTCTAATCAGGCTAAACTGAAACTGAAACTGAGACACGCTGTTTGCTGCACTCAGCGGCTTGTGCTAATCAGGCTGTGCTGAAGCTGAAGCGGAAACAGGCTGTTTGCTGTTTGCTGCAAGGAGGCAAATTGCTGGGAGACAGAGGCAGATTTTGTTTTCTTGTTTTCCTCCCCAAAAGCTAGGTGCGTCTTATACTTCAGCGCATCTTATACTCTGAAAAATACAGTATGCTGTCAAGGCCCAAAGATTTTGGGTTGCTTGGGGCCCCTGTTGGCAGGCGTGGGCATATCCCCAGAGCCTGGACCACCTCTAGGAATTTTAAGAGGTCTTCTCTCCTTTCTCCCTCTGCTATTCCGGTGCCATGCACCAGGACGATGCCAAGAGGCGTGTCGATCCGGGCTGGGTGCAGGCAAGGGCAGGTGGGGGCTTCACCAGACTGAGCACTTGTGTGTGGGGTTCATGGGGGAGTCCTTGGGACAGTGGAAGACCCGTCCGAATTCCTCAAACTGGGAGACGCTGCCCAGCACCCTGCAAGAGGGAAGAGAAGAGAGGAGGGGAAAAAATTGAGGATTGCAGAGACATAGAATACCGTGACCCGTCAAAACCGCGCTCGACTAAGCCGCGCCCGATTAAACCGCGTCGCTGATGTCATCAACAGGGCNACAGGAGATAAATAAAGAGGGGTTTTTCAGGACAAGGAGTCTGATTCTTGTTTCTGCTAAGGCTGGGTCAGAACACACATACAATATATATTTAGAAACACCAAGACCTCTGATGAAAAGATGCAGTGAATTTATGCAGGGCTTCCTGGACGTAGCAGGAAGGGAGCAGCAGGAAGAAAATCCTCTTTTCATATCAGCCAAAAATAAAGCTGCTTTCATAATAATCCAAAGATTATCTCAGGCTTCACTGTATCTTAAGCCAAATTCTTAAATTGCTTATATTTGATGGTTACCTGCTTATATAGCTTCTTGGGGGGGGGGATTAATAGTTTCATGATGTTTGTAATTTTATGTTTGCAGATAAAAGGAAGGACAATCCGGGTGGACCACGTGGCCAACTACCGCCCACCCAAAGATTATGAGGATACGGATGAGATTACAAAGGCTCTCCGTGAGAAAGGATGCGGTATTAAAACCCCTCCCCCAAGTTCAGCTGAACCCTCCGAAGATGATGAAGTAGAAGTAAAAAAGCACAAGAAAGGTGAGAAGTCTTTTTTCCCCCTTTCTGTAGCCAGAATTATACAACCTGGAAAACTCATAGTTTGTTTAATCACATTTGATTAAGTCACCACTCTTCACACAACATGCTGTGCTACAATGTGCCTTATTTGAAGTAGGCTGTTGCGTGGTTCTATGCCGCATGCAAATCTCAACTTTAAAGCTGTTGGAAGCTTTGAGATAAAGGAATACACAATATGTGCAGCATTTCAGTGAAGAATGACCTGGAAATCCAGAATCCTATTAGTTTTCTGGCTTTTGAATTATATCTGATTAGGGTGGATTATACCTGCATCAATATATCTGTGGTGTTTCAACCGTGATTAACTGTAGGCTTTTAGAGAACCAAAAAAAATCTTGGGATGAAGGAGAAAAGTCTGATTCCCTATTTTTAAAGATTTGTTGCAACATAAAATCGGGCATTGTTTCTCATTCTGAGCAACTTTAACTTTCCCAGCTAAAATTTGGGGAACGAAAATCCACACAACTTTTTAAAGTTGTTGAAAATGAGCAAAAATGAAATAGAAAGTGCCAGTTCTTTCTGTTAGAGGAGGTACAGTAGATATTAAGAGTTAACAAGCCAACATTTCAGGGTAAACAGGAGAAATACAAAATTAAAGAAAAAAATGGTCAGTAGATTGGGGCAAGACGGTTTGAAGAGCATTCCCTCTCAAATCATTTTGAAAGAAAGTTGAAACTTGAAAGCTGGGAAAGAGTTTCTGGAAAAATGGAATACCAGGAAATATACAAAGGATCTTAGAAAAGCATCTGAAGGAGAGATTTGCGGAAATCCTTTTGATTACATTTCTTGTACTTTCAGAAAAAAAGAAAAAGAAAAAAAAGAAAGAAAAGCGAGAGCATCGGAAACACTTGAAAGAGGAACCTGCTACAGATGTGTTTCCCCCCAAATCCAAGATAAAAATAGAAAAAGAGGACCCGGATTATGAACGCTATGCTAGGACAAACCAGGAAACTCGGGGCAGCACATCTGGGTTCCGCCCCCAGAGTAGGATGCCACAAGGAGAAGAGCTCAAATACGATAGCGGGGCAGAGCGATCTCGAGAAAGAGGCTCGGAAAGGGACAGATACGAGCGCAGAACGCCCCTCGGTGAGGAGAAGCACAAGAAAACAGAGACCATCAAAGATAGACACTGCTCATCGGGAAGCCGATCACGTGATCGCTCAGAAAATAGAGACCGGCCTCCCTGGGAGAAATCATCAAATCGTTATTAACTCAAACTGCTCTGTTCTCTCCTTGCACACGCGAGAAAGGGCTTGCTCTAGGCTTTGTGGCCAGAACATTGGCTCTGTGAAATAGGCAGGGGGGACAGCGCAACGCTAAAATTTGAAAATGCAGGAGGAAACTCTGGTGTGCTCTTTGGAGCAGTGGTGCCTCCCGGTTGCAGTAAAGGCCTGAATTCCAGATGCAAAGCAGCAGTGTCAGCATTCCCCCACTTCAGCATCTAGGCTTTAATAAATCCACTTTTGAACTGTTACCGTGTCTTCAGCTTCCCATTTCTGCTGCTTGCACTTTTGCATTTATCCTCATTTAAGTTGCGGTACAGCAACTGAAGAAAAGGTGCCGGAGAAGGTCTGTGCTCTGGCAGTTTGAGTCCTACTGCCCGTGGGATGAGGTGAGCCCTCCGTCCCTTGCCTCTCCTGCTGCCAACCTAGCAGATCAAACGCCATGTAAATGCAAGTAGGTAAATGGGTACAACTTCCGTGGGAAGGCAACAGCGTTCTGTGTTTTGCCCTATGTTTTGCCCTGCAGCAGGATGCCCTGCCGGCCACGTCACTGCAGAAACGTCATTGAGCAACACGATTCCTGATTTGAAGAGCGAGATGTGAGCACCGCCTTCCAAAGTCTGCTACGACTAGTGAAGTAAAACCCACAGTTACATCTTTACCTTTGCTTTGTTGCAGTATGACTGTTTGGCAAGGGTTGAGCAGTCTTAAGAGCCAAGGTGGCGCAGTGGTTAAATGCAGCACTGCAGGCTACTGCTAGATCAGCAGTTCAGCGGTTCAAATCTCACCGGCTCAGGGT